TTTTGTGAAAATTATGCTTTGGGTTTTTGAGTTCAAATCACAATGTTTTTATCCATGGATTTCATTTCAGGTTTGGATTGGTGGAGGACGAAGAAGATTCATGAGATAAGCTGCATGAATTTCCCGTTTTAATCTTCTAAAAAACAGTTTTTTATAGCTAAATTTATTATTATTATTTAAATAATAAAATCGATAAAAATGATCTAAAATATTATTATTTTTATCAATTTTAATTATCGATATAGGTAAGCGCAGTAAGAAAAACTCGGTAAAAAATTAATATTTTAGATAGTATTTTACCGAAAATATTATTTTTTATCGGATTTTTTTAACTCGTTTATTTATTATCGATAATTAATAATAATAATAAAATCAATAAAAATAATAATAATTTTTATTATTATTTTTTATCAATTTTATTGTTTAAAATAATAATAAAACTAATAATATTTTATTATTTAAGAATGCCGCACGTGAGTCTTATTACCTTGACGGTGGCGCGTGCTTTCAAGCATTTTAAGCTGGTATAAGGAAAATTAAAATTAAAATTGATCTAATTATCAAAATCAAATCTTTGAGGAAGGAACCCTAATTAGCTCCTCAAGTTCAGCTCCTATCATTTAATTTTATCAAACTGAGAATTACAGAATAAGAAAAAGGAGTTTTAATCGTTTTTATTGACATTAGATAGAGAGAGAAGAAATTCTACTACTTGAGTCGAGAGTTCATAATCAACAATGGAGTCATGTCTACTGAAATCAAAGCTCCCCAACTGCCCATTTTCTAAAACACATTCAAAATCCAAATTTCCTCCTTTGATATTCAATCTTTGAATAAAAGGTTACAAATTTTCATTTTTGAAGAGCTTAAAACACTGTTTTTTTACTATGGGAGCATAAAAGAAATGGCTTTTCACTCTCTTTCAACAACTATTCTCCATGATCCTCCTCTCGCTTTACTCAATCTCCAATTTCAGTTCCCCTAGACCTTTCCCTTCACCGGTCCAGCATGGCCCTCATTACCCACCAGATTTTGGGTACTATTTATTTGGTGGAAAAGGTGATAAAGATCGGATCTTTAGGCTACTGCTTGCTGTCTACCATCCCATGAACCGATACTTGTTGCAACTTGGAGCTGACGCTTCTGATGAGGAAAGATATAGACTGGCTTTGGCTTTGAAATCTGTGCCTGCTATTAGGAGCTTTGAGAATGTGGATGTTATAGGCAAGCCTGATAGGTTTTCTTCGATGGTTCTACACACATCGCCGCCACGTGCGTGCTGCTGCTATGTTGATGAAGCTTGGTCGTGCTGGGATTGGTTTATTGCTCTGAGTGCCTTGGATTATCCCTTGGTTACTCAAGATGGTAAGTGGCTTCAGTTCATTCTTTGTGTGGAGTAGCTTAGAGAATTGAAGTTCTTTTTTGACTTGGAGAAATTACAAGTTCTTGATTTGGTTGGAATTACTTGAAATTTGAATGAATCTGCATTGTTTCACTGTGCAAAATTTGGTAGATGAAAGCATGCGTTAGCCTTAATTATCGATCGATATTTCGACTTCGAGGCGGTGTTGATAATGTAGAAATGAAACTTGGAAGCTATCAAACAGATGACAAATTTGATTGTGCTGCATATTGGCTCATACATAACATTGAGGGTATCAAATTGGAGCTGAATGGTAGAAAGTATGTAATGTAAATGAGTGAGTCTTATGAGTTCTTGAGCCGATTTATATTGATGGTTCATGGACTTTCAGTTATACACCTTTTTGGGTCTAAATCTGCAGATTTTTGGTGAACCTTTGGTTCAGCGATCGGAAGCGACTTTAGGACCGTATGTCTGCCTGTTTTGGAGATGATCTGAGATGATATCGGGCATCAGTTCTGCGATTATTGGTTGTTTTACATGTGAAGTTAGATACTTAAGCTAATAACCTTTGGCATTTTGGATTAATTCCATTTTCCTAGTATCATTACAATTCGAGGCCGCTGAAAATCATATCATTACGACCTATTAAGGGTGCAAAGGAAGTTAACTTGTGACTCAAGTAGGTTTAGTAGGTTAGAAGGAAAGAAAGTGGCTTATTATCCTTTGTTACTGCGGTGAGATGAATCCCGTAATGAACTAATGAATATATGTGTATATATCAGTTTGTGGAGTTGAAAGTGCTATGAGTTTCTGATATTCTATGCTTTGTTCTTAATTGTATCTACATCTAATCCTTCTTTCTTGTATTTTATTCGTATCTCACGTGTGTGTTCTCCTTGGTCAGGACTCAGGAGGGACCTCAATTTCCTTGATCATACTAGCGACCCTGGGGGGAAAGAGTAGGCATAACTCTTTTTATAAGATTTTTAGATCCTTCTGCTGCACATTCTTAGTTGTGTCTAATTGCATTGATTCTGTTTTTATGCAGAGATCACGTATCGAGTCTATTGTGGTCGACCCGGGGGCTTTACCAAGCTAGGAGGACCAAAATTTTTCATGCTACACAGATTTTTTCATGCTACACAGAAACAGTCGATGCCTGATGCTTTTAAAGTATTCACAGCAACGTCTACAATCTGTTTTATCGGTTAGCTTTTTCATGATTTTTTTTGAAATCTGTCTTCGTTTCTCTGCTATATTACACTCATTGACAGTTTGGTATTGAATTGCAGGTTCTCCATGGGTTGCCTTAAGCAGATCCTTTCTGGAATTTTGTCTTTTCGGGTGGGATAATCTACCCCGAACCCTTCTGATGTATTTAACAATGTTATGTTTTCCGAAGAAGTTATTTCCATTCTGTCATTTGCAATTCACCGGTTGAAGAACACTACCGTGAACGGTGATTTCGATATATGATCTGGGACAGTCCTTCGAAGAAGGAACCCACTTTCTCAAAATTTCTGATTATGATCAAATGGCTCAAGCGGAGCAGCATTTGGAAGGCCTTTCAAAAGGATGATCCGTGTTGATGGTTGACAAAAAGATCCTCAAGCGAAGGCAAAGCCAAGTTGCCCTAGGGCATCGTGCACTGGCCGGAAAAGCTGGTGGGTAGATCCTTGCTCGCAATGGGTGATGTAAATGTCTTGAAGCCCGGACCACAAGCAAAGAAGTTTCCAGGAAACTATGATAAACCTTCTTGACGACTGGAATTCGCCGTCTAATCAGTGCACATGAAGGGATATGAACTGCGAACCAAAAGGCGAATATCTCACATCGACCTTGCATCCGAGTTCCGTGAAAGGCTCTAAATAATACCATCAGATGAGATGGTTGATTTTCGTACCAAGTACAAGAGTTAAGGGGGGGGGGAACAGTGAATTCGGTCGAAGTCGTTGGCTTCGGGTCAGTATTAATGGTAAAGCAACCCGTAAGTCTACAACGAGTATCGGGAACTTCTTATCGAGCTTGCCATTCGCATGCTGTTTGTTTCAACACCATTCATCTTTGAGTTTATGTTTTTACTCGGTGGAATCTTACCTGAATAAACTGTCTCTAGTGTGCAATGTTAGAGGAAGGCATGTATTTCACTAAAGAACTACAAAGTGAATTTGAAGAAAGAATTTAACATTCTTCCTTAGTCTACAAATCAAACAATGTAATGAGCCAATGAGTCCAAAAGAACTTGACAAAGATGAAAATGTTGAAAGAAACCAAAATGATATAAAAGACTTTGAATGAATTTTTCCTTTTCTCTCTCTCTCTCTCTCTCTCTCTCTCTCTCTCTATATATATATATAATATATATATATATATATATATATCAACTCTATTTTCAGGTGCTGCAGCCCTCTTGATGCCCAATAATGCACTCTCCACAGCAGCTAGCGGGCTGGGAATTTGAATCAATGCAGTCACGGCTAGCCTTTATCTCTTGAGATTCAGTATTACATGCAATGGTCGACAACTTTATTTATCATTTCCAACGCATTGGAAAGATTACTATAAAGAGTAACCTTCAAAAGTATCATAGCAGAGATTTAAATAGCGGTATAGCGGCTACTATATTGCGATCGCGGCGGTGTCTGAGACCTCTATCACGAAAAATAGCGGTGTGAAGCAAAATAACACCAATAGTCATGGATTCAAATTGCGGGTGCTATTGCGGTCTCGGACCACTATTTAATCCCTACCAATAGCAATGGGTCATGGCCGCAATTAAACGGTTATCGGCCAATCATGACAATAGCAGACCGTTATCTGCTATTTTTTTTTTTAATTAGTTTCTTTAAAAAAATCAACTCATTTAGAAAAAACTCACGACCGTGATACCCGCAATGATCGCAATAGCATTCATTATATCCACAACTGCGATAAACGCACGCGACCGCAACTATAATTTAAATCCCTGATCATTAGGGCAAAATACTCTCTTTACATCATGAATCCTGGTTATATATATATATACAGAGAGAGAGAGGCAGGTTTCACTTATACCATATAGAACTCTTTGGTTTTACAATAAAATCTAACAATGGATTAAACAAAATCAATGGTGAAGATTAAAATTTTGTGCATTTCTATTATTCACATCTCTTTTTTATCCGCAAAAATCTTCTCTTTTTTGACCATGTATCTCAGTCATTAATGTAAAACTAAGAGTTATATACTATGAACTGGATCTTGCCAATATATATATATCGCAAACCTGTTCCACAAACACCCTTCATGATGCTGCTTACCTGCTCTCTTTGCTTTCATTTATTCTTCTGCAAAATAGTTGATAAAGGAACAGTGTCCTGAAAACAATTATAGAAAAGTCATGCCCCTTTTTCCTAATTTTCCTATTATTAGGCTCAAATTATAACAAAATAGAAAACTATTTTGAAGTAGTATGTGCAAATACAGCTTATTAATGCATAACTGAATTCTTTGCATGCAACATAAAGTTTTTTTTTCCTCGTCGCCATATTCACAGGTCAACCAATATCTAAAATAAGAAGGTAAATGAATGTGCATTCCTCAAGTTTTAAAGATCTAACCTGCATTATTCGAGTCATATGCTTATATTACTGCACTATCTTCCAAACACGGTGCAGGCATCCTCCCCTGAACTAACCACAGTGCAGTCATCAATAAAAACCAAACCATAAACTCCGCCAGGATGAGCATGCTTTACGGTTATGCGGTTGGAAGCCGGTTTCGCAATTTCGTATATGATTATGTTAGTGTCTAGTGATCCCGTAGCCACCATGGTGCTATTAGGGACCAAGCAAGGCAATTGATACGAGCTGTGTGGAACAACATGTTATTAAGCTTCACCTGCAAAACAATTGGGAACTATATTTTAGCTACGAGGCAAAATATGGTTAAAACATCCAGTCCATTGCTAAAAGCACTTTTAAGATATCCTGCTGTTAATATATTCAGAAATTTTTGTTGGACTGTTCACGATGATATTCAAGGGATCATAAACAAGTAAAAACCAGTTTTGTAATATCATAGTAGGTTCTATAATAGTGTAAATTTAGAGAGCTGAGAACTTTTGGTTCACATCCTTGCATAGCAAGAAGCTTCATGCCTGGAATTGGAGTTAATAAAATAGGTTTCTTACTAGCAGCTGATGCCAAAATCAAACGTAAACAACCAGATAACTGAAGAAGTGATCAAATAAGCTCCAAAATGATAATTATTGTTCCTCTATCAGTCGTAAAAGATACTGTGCAACCAAACAGGCTTTGAAGCAATGCAGCAAATGTAACTGAGAAACTAGAGGATGACCATAAAAAAGGTTGATTATCCAGGACCAGGAGTAACACTAATATCCCTCAATATATGACTGATGGATCTGAATTCCATAATTATCTAGGACATTACTCTTGGGAAAGCTATTTGAAGCATCCACTCTTGTTAAGGAGGAAAACATCTCTCTTAACTGATATGTATTCCCCAATTTACTTTTGACATTTAGGAATGTCAAGCAATCAGAGTGTCCAATAAGGAATGAACAAAAGGGTTGTTAAGCCCAAGCGTACATCTCGAAAATGGGATGAATCGAGTTACCATACAATTTTATTCCAAGGTGATGTATTAGAATTAATTTGAATTACAAGTTACCTCTTTGGAGGTACGATCCCAAACAACTGCTTCACGGTTTAGATCGGCAGAAGCAAACATGGAAAATCTGGCGAATACCGTAGAATGCTAATTGGACCTCTATGCTTCTCAAGGGTTGCTTCTTCTTTAAGAGAATCACCTGAGACAGAATATATATGCAACTTACCATCCTGTCCCCCCACAATAGCCTCACTTCCATCAGGTGCAATAACAGAAGCTGTCACTGCGAACCCAAGGTTGATGCTTGCAAGTACTTGCAGATCCTTAAGCAATAGAACTCCAGAATCAGTTGAAACTAAAGCCAGCTCAGGGGTATTAATGGCCTGGCTCAAGTCCTTTGGTTGACTGCCAACATCTGTCTGTTCTGCCTCCTCAGATTTATCTTGATCTAGAGAAATTCTCCATACCTGAAATTAACTGAGGAATGGTCAACAGAAAGAGAACTAGTATTCAAGCTATATAAAGGGTGCAAAGTGTTCACGGTTAATATGAATCCATGAAAGTACTTATCTAGATAGAGATGATATCAATGTTAAACAGCAAAAAGTATTTTACGCATGACCTATGCATGGACAGAACTTTATGCATTCATCTAGATTATGGCCATCAAAGCCGGGAAAAAAATTATGTTCTTCATACTGCAATTAAAGATAAGTATTGCAGTTTCTTTAAGGATGGGGCATTCATTTCTTCAATAATGTTTAAGAAGGAATTCTAGCTGATATACAGCACATTCTAGAAAACGTTTCAGAAAATATTTTATAAAAGTTTCATCTGCTACTTTATGTTACCAAAGTCTCTGCAGTCTGCATTGCCAGTTCTGGTTGCAAAAAAAAATCATCTCTTTGCACCACCAGGCTAATTCAAAAAAGCTTATATAATTTGAGTCATACCATTCTAGCACTCATTTGAAATGCAATAATAGGCGATGCGTATTTAACCACACTTCTTATAAATTACAGAATATGAACTAAACTAAATTTTATATGCTTCCACAAGCACCAACTCATTTTACCCTGAAAGATATTAACAAGTGATAATAACATAAATCAACAGCAACTACTGCAAAAATAACAATGTTAAACAGGTAAAATAAAATTTCATTTGAAAGGTATTTAGCCAGACCTTAATAAATGAATTTCATATTTTTTTTTGACATTTTTATCTGTTAAATGGTGGGTGAAGTTGAATAACAGAGATTATTAAAGCATACATTGTTAACAATAATAAAATGCAATGTGTTTTGTGGTATAAGTTTACCTTGTTGTTGTATCCAGATGTCATTATCTCTTCTTTGAACGCAACCAAACATTTAATTTGAGAATTATCTTTCCTGTTTAATTTGCCACTGTATCCAGTCCCCGGAATCCATCTAAAAATATATCCATCGAAGCTGCTGGATAAAATCGTCTTTCCGTCGCTTTCGAGTAGAGTTAATGTATTTACGTTCTTCATATGTCCAGACAAACATAACGGTTGTCTATCAAGATCACTAGCAGAGTACAAGTTAATTGTGCCAACAAGGGAAACTGTAATGATATGATCATTCTGCCAGAGACATCCAACAAGCATGTCCTCCACTCCACCAGATCCAGTCCATCCCAACGTTTTCGTCACTTTTCCCGTACCATCCTCAGATATCTCCCATATCTTGGCAGTCTTGTCAGCAGAAACAGTAATTACCTGATTTCATCAATAAAGTAATAGGCAGATAAGTAGGAAACACATGATTGCAATTAAGATGTTGGAAGTTCAGAGCGAAAAAGTGGCTGGATGTAGTTAAGTGAAGAAAGTAACAGAGAGTTTTTGTTGTTGTCGACATATACTCGTTGAGGAAAACGTGTAAATTTTGATGAAAACACAACTCTTATGAATCTCTCATTCATGCTCTTAGTGTTGAACTTTAAAACAGAACAAATGCAAGACTGTTACTGCCATCTTTGTTGGCTAAAATAAATTAAACACAATTGAGAACTCGAGGAAGATAAAGGACACTGCCAAGTTTTCAGTTTACACAAAATGAGTCGTTTGAAAGTAATTTGACCTGGCACTTCCACACACAGATTATGCTTAAACAACTATGCATGGATTTAAAGGAACATTATACACTTCATTTGAAGTTTCCAGTCTACACAAAATGACTCGCTTGAAAGTAATCAGACGCACAATTGCATTGGATACTGCTCTTTCAATGAAGCTATAGACTTTATTTATTTATTTTGACAGAGCAATGGTCCTTATTAAAGCAAAATAATAATAATAATCAAGGGTAAACTACGCATTTAGTACCTAACTATCAGTTTTGGTACCTAAACTTTCAATTTTTTCAAAACCATACCTAGCGTTTATTTTTTGTTTCATTTTAGTACCCGTTGTTAAAAGCTTAACTCGTTTAGTATTTAAACTATCATTTTTGGTCGTTTTAGTACCTAAACTTTCATTTTTTTTTTCCAAAAATTAACGTTAAATTTTAGATGGGGTAATAAAATGAAACAAAAACTAAACTTTAGGTATGATTTTGAAAATATTGAAAGTTTAGGTATTTAAAACATACCAAAACTGATAGTTTAGGTATTAAATGCATAATTTACCCAAAAATCTAGGTGCTTACATGTTTACTATCTCCGCTCCAGCTAACAGCATAAATGCTACCTGTATGACCATCTTCACTGGACAGCGCTCCCATTGTTTCACCACTCTTTGCATCATATATTATACCCTTCTTATCTGAGCTTACGCTAATTAGTTTGCTTCCATCTGGTGAAAATCTAATGCAGTTGACGAAATTTGAATGCTCCCTGCAAATCATAAAACAAATCCTTTAATCCTAAAGTTAACATAAATCTTACGAACGGATCCATAGGCTATTTTCCTTAAAAAAAACTTATAATTCCCTAAGCAGTGTTCATTCTGTAGTGCACCATATATTGGCTTGCATTATAGATTAACAGTAATACCTACCGGTGAGATAACTTGAACTTAAAGGGTGGACCTTCATAAAAATTCACCAAGAAATCTTCTCCACAACTCGCAATTCGAAACGGCCTCGTCGGTTTAAAATGACAGCTTAGCACCCTCTTCGAGTGCCCATCAAAATCCCCCACTGTTGATCCCGAATCCCACCTTCAACATCACAAAAGACCTCTAATCAAAATCTAAACCATTTTCATATTCTCTTAAAACAAAATTCCAATTCAAACAACAACACTAACATAAAAGCGCGAACAAACGACTTTCCTTTCCCATCGCCACAGGCAACGATCCTCAACCCGTCCGGCGACCACTGCAGATCGTCGATCCGACCCGAGAGGACCTTGAACTCATTCTTCAAAACGAAATCGTTATGCGTCCCCCAGATCCGTATGACTCCAGAGACGTCGGCGGAGGCGATCCACTCGCCGTTTGGGGAGTAACGAGCGACGGTGACGGGATAACTGTGCTCACCGTAAACGGCGACGTCGAGAGGATGGTCGAGGTAACGGATGAAGACGGACCTCGCGTTGCAATAGAGGATGGAGTTGGATTTTGGGTTGCCGGAGATCAGAATCCCACGGCCGCGTTCTGTGGAAGGGGCGCATGCATAGGTTTCAACGAGATTAGCAGCCATTAGTGTGGGTGTCTCTGTGTGCGAGTGCTTTGGCAGGGCTAGTGTTTGGAAAGGAGGAATTTAGTTTTCAGTTGAAAGGAAAAGTGCGGGAATTGAGGCGGTAACTTTTTGAACGAGTTGCTCGCTGACCACTTACCCCTTTTTGGACATTTTGAATTTACATTGTATTTATAGATATGGTTTCTTCAATTCTCAAGTAAATTGATTTAAATTAAGATAAAATAAAATGGATAAAGTACAAAAATGGTCCCTCGACTATAGGGTACTTTTTTAAGTTTATCGACTATTAAAAGTTACAAAATGATCATCGGATTATATAATGTTGCTTTATTAAGTCCCTTGACTATTAAAAATTTACAAATTGGTCAAATAACTATTCATTATGTTCTAAACTCATCATTTTCTTAACAAAAAATATAGCAGTTGTCTAAGTTGGATGTTAATGTGATGATTGAGATATGATAGTCATTTGAGATTCTGCGATCATATTTTTTCATAACATAATCAACATGTTAACTTTCAACTCAGAATACCGTTAAATTTTTAATGAAAAAGGACGAGTTTGGAACATAATGAATAGTCGGGTGATCATTTTGTAACTTTTAATAATTAAGGGACTTAAAAAGAAATATTCTATAGTTAGAGGATCATTTTATAACTTTTAATAGTCGATGGACTTAATAAAATAATACCTTATAGTCGGGGACCATTCATATAATTTACCCAATAAAATAATACGATATTATAAAGATATAAAAAGTAAGATGTATAATATGTTATCTTATTAAAAAAATTAATAAAAAATTTAGTGAGAGAAAATCTTAGTTAAAAATGTACGAATAAGGGGTGTAAATGAATGAGTTTGTATTGTATTTTTAGGAGCATAAATGAATGAGTTTGAACGAATAAAGTTGTGTTGTTCGTGTTCAATTGTTTATTTTTTATGGTGTTCATGTTTAATTCATTTAACGTTCGCGAACATATTAGTGTACGTGTGAGTTTAATGTTCGTTTGTGTGTTTAGAAATGGTGAAATTATGTCACTAATCCTTAAGCTCCTTTTGTTTCATAGTTTGAACTTCAAATTTTACCACATGTTCAATTTAGTCTCTACCTTCACCAATATTTAAAATATAAAAAAAATAAAAGGAAAAGGAGAACTTAATAAATGAGCTTATAAATGAGTTGATCAATCTACTTTCAAATGAAAATATTCGTGAACATAAACGAATTCAATACACATCTATTTTGTTCGTTAATTTATTAATTAAACATGATTTTTTTTACATTCATTTGCTCAATACAATAAACAAACATAAACGAAAGAATCCTTACGAACTATGTAAAGGCTATAGAGAAAGACGTTGGCATGTCATAATCACAACTTGCCGTAGAGGAACCGCACGTCATTACATTATCATTTTTCACCTTCCCTTCGTCATATTATTTTGTGATCAACGTCAAATCATCCAACTTTGTTTTGATCGCCAAATGTATATATAATGTACATATTCTATTACAGTATTACTCGTCTTTGTCAATGATGGAAGAAGAATCAACCATGAAAGAGATGAGGAAAGGCCAGCCGGCACAAACATGATGGATCGTCTTCCTCGAGAAGTCATCGTCAACATACTATCCAAGCTTCCCTTAACATCTTTGCTGAATTCAAAGCTGGTTTGTCGAGCCTGGCGAACCCTAATACAAGACCCATTTCTTATCAGCAAGCACTCGGATGAGGCTGACGGCAATGATCCGAGCTTCATCTTGGAAAGCAATTGGCCTATCCCCGGCCAACGCTTCTTCATAGATTTCTCCGATCATGGTGAAGGAAAAGTGATCTCAAAGAAGCTCCCCGGTTTTCATACGTCCATGCATCTGGTAGATTCATGCAATGGGTTGGTTTGCATGATTGATACGTCGAGAAACGTGTTCATTTACAACCCTTTCACTAGGGTTTACGTCGAGCTCCCCAAACCGGTCAATCATCCCACGCTGGTGGGGCATTTGGGTTTCGGTTTTCATCGGAACACGAAACGATACAAGGTGGTCCAGATAGTGGTTCAACGAAGATTGCGGAGAAAAACAGCTTGTGTTCAATCGGAGGTTCAGATTCTAACCATCGGGACCCCTTGTTGGAGAAATCTAGGGACCGTACCTTATCATTTTATCCATCGATATCAAAGGCATTCGTCAATGGCAGGCTCCATTGGCTTACGAGGCCGAACAAGTACACCAAAGCTAGCTTGCTTATATCGTTTGATCTCGAAACCGAGCAGTTCCGGGAAGTTCCGAAAGCCGACTGTTGTTGCGCTTCCGATAGGTGTTTTCGTCAACTGACTGTCGTACGAGGTTCTCTGTCGGCCGGTGCGTTTCACGGTGACGATGAACGATTCGAAATTTGGGTTATGAAGGAATATGGTGTGAAGGAGTCTTGGATCAAAGAGTTTAGCATCGGAACTCACTTGCCCCCGACGTTAATGGCGCAACGAGAGATTCGACACTTGAGGTATTCGAACCCTAATTTACTAGTTCGAGTTCTGTGCGTGCTGAAAAGCGGCGAGATCTTGTTGGAGTACTTAAGCAGCGCTCTTGTTCTTTATGATCCTCAGTATGGGACGTTCAAGGAGTTTAGGTTTCTGGAAATGCCTAGTTGCTTCAAAATAGTTATTCATGTCGGAAGCTTAAGTTGGCTCCACAGTTAATTCTGGTAAACTACGAATCTACTGAAATCACTTAAGTTTGGTGACCAAAGTAAAAGAGTCTTAAAACTTCAGTGACTATCATTATAATTTACCCTACGTTTTTATGTATATAGTAATCGAAGATGAAATCAATCAAGACCAAAGATAGATAATAATAAAATGAAAGGTTATGATTTAATTATCAAGCCATCAAGATTTAAATTGTAGTATAATCTGTTTAATCTCAAAATTGATAGGATCTAAGAAGTATTTAAATAAGAGAAAACATATAGGACTAAATTTGCCTAATTTCAAATTTGATAGGGACTCAAAAAATAGGGTAAAACTTAATTTATCTAATTTTAAAACTAATAAGGACCTAGGAGGTGATTGAATATAAAAATTTGGGAGACCATAATTTAATTTATTTAGTTTGAAACTAATAGGGACTTGAGAAACAATTAAACCTAGAAAATAAGGGAGTCGGCTCCTTCCACACTAAAAGTTATGAATATCCATTATTAAATAATTAAAGAAATTTATTACATTATATTTACCATGAATTAATAATAAAGACCAAATATAAATAGTATAAAATGAGAGATTTAAGTTTAACTATTAAGCCACCAATTGACATTGTAAGATTGAGTTGCCATTTTTTTTGAATAAATTAATATTTTTAATAAAATAAAAATATTATTATTATTATTATTTCTTATTATTCCGATTCTTGAGATTTCACCCTAATTAATTAGGACTGATCCGCATCTGACAACTAATTTTGGTAGATGAATATCTTGTGTTTCTTCGTTGAGTATCCGACAATTAAAAGTTATAAATTGATTGTCAGACTATAAAATATTACTTTACTAAATTTTTTGATTATTAAAAATTATAAATCATCACCCAACTATTCATATATAACAAACTCGTCCATTTTTATACTTTACATTATCATCGTTGAATTATCAATTGAATTAAATTTCTCTCGTGCGTTGGTATATCAGAAACGCAACTTGCGGCAGTGGAATCACTATGCCATCGCATTATCATCGATATTCAATCGCTTTCACTTTGTTATATTAAATTGTTTTCAAATCAATATCAACTTTGATTCGATCACCAATATATATATATATATATATTAATAATGGAGGAATCAACCACGAAAGAGAGCAAACTGTTGAAGAAAGACTAACCAGCAGCAAACTGATGGATCGTCTTCCTCGGGAAGTCATCGTCAATATACTTTCCAGGCTTCCCTTCACATCTTTGTTGAGTTCAAAGATGGTTTGTCGAGCCTGGCGAACCCTAATACACGATCCGTTTCTCATCAGCAAGCACTTGGACGCGGCTTCCGGCAACGATCCGAGCTTCATCTTGGAAAGCAACTGGCCGATCCCTGACCAACGCTACTTCATAGATTTCTCAGATCATAGTGAAGGAGAAGTGGTGGTATCAAAGAAGCTCCCCGCCATTAATTCTCCTATTACGCCCATGTATTCGATAGATTCATGTAATGGATTGCTTTGCATGCACGATGCATCACGAAGGGTGTTCATCTGCAACCCTTTCACCAGGCTTTGCACCGAGCTCCCCAAACTGGTCAAATACCCATCGCTTGTGGGGAATTTAGGGTTCGGTTTTGATCGAACCACGAAGCAGTACAAGGTGATCCAGGTAGTGTTTCGGAGACAATTGAGACGAGTCGGCTCGAGTACTACATCTACACCCACGTCGATATCTTCGACTCAGTCGGAGGTTCAGATCCTGACATCCGGAACCCCTAGTTGGAGAAACCTAGGAACCATACCATATCGGTTTATTCATTCGAAATCCAAGGCTTTGGTCCACGGGAGATTCCATTGGCTTACACAGCCTAACAAGAACAACACGGCTACCTTGCTTATATCCTTTGATCTCGAGACCGAACGATTCGACCAGATACCAAAACCTGATTGTCGTTGCGGTTCGGACAAGTGTTTCCGTCAACTGATGGTGGTACGAGGTTGTCTATCTACGACGGCGTTTCACGGTAACTACGGTGAACGATTGGAGATTTGGGTTATGAAGGAATACGGTGCGAAAGAGTCTTGGATCAAAGAGTTTAGCATCGGAGCTTACTGCTTGACCCCAACATTATTGCAACAAGAGATCCTAAACTCCGGTACTAATTTAAGACCAAATTTGTTTGTTCGGTTTTTGTGTGTGTTGAGAAATGGTGAGATCTTGTTGGAGTACAAAAGCAAACCTCTTCTTGTCTATGATCCACGGTCTGAAACATTCAGGGAGTTTACGTTCCCGGAGATGCCTAATTATCACTTCAAAATAGTTGTTCATGTGGGAAGCCTGAACTGGCTTCACAGTTGATTCTGTGTTCCTGCAGATATATCATAAGCTGAGATCTTGTTTATGCTATATACTTACATACGCACACATACACACATATTATATTATGTGTATAATGAAATGTACGATGATTGTACAATAAAATATACATTAAGATTTTAGATAAAAAAATATTTAGAGGAAAATCAGGTATAATTTTTTTTTATTAATGTCAAAAGATAAAAAATATAAGGGATGCAGACTCTATTTGCAAAAGAGGATTTTGGTATGATAATTTTACCCTTACAACAATTAAAAGAGAATACAGTTGTACAACAAATTAGTTTGGAAAAAAATGCGGTCCTTGTATTTAAAAAAAATTAATGTGATCTTTGTAATGTTCCGAATTATGTGTTAAGAGTTTCAGGCTAACCCGATAGGACATTAGAATAAATCCTTTAGCTTGTAAGAAACCTAAACCAAGTTGAGTGGATTTGGGCTTGGTTTAAGTCCATTTGAGTTTAAAAAGACATTTTTAATCCTTGAATGAAAGATGGAGTGAAAGAGCAATTTTACAATTTCAAAGGTTGAATCCTTTAACGGTTGATGATATCACGTATGTTTTTCCACTCTTTTTCACCATTCTCTTCTTTGTCTTCTTCATTCGTTTCCTCATCATTTTCTTCCTCCCCAAGAGTAGAACAAAGGTCGAAGCTTTTAGTTTTACAAGCCTAGTTCAAAGATTCTAAGGTAAGGAATAAAACCTCAATCTCCTAAGCTTTCATTCAAGCTCTCAATGGTAAATTTTGGCCATTGTTATCAAATATGGATTTAGTGGGGGGTTTTATAATCTAAGTTCAATCAACCCGTTTTTGGAAGGATTTGAGCTCAAGTGATGTTTTAAACTCTTCCTTAAGCTTTCCAACAACAGTAGTTACACTTGTGTTGTTTTTTGCTTATAAAGAGAAGTTGAAGAAAACTCCAAGTGCAAAGGAAAGGAAAAATTCACCCTTGGTTGAGTTGAAGGAAATCCTAATAGCTTAGACTCAAGGTAACTCACTTCTAACTCATCTCTATTACAATCTAGATCACTAAGTATGTTTGTTAGCTTGCATGAGTCATGAAGCATGTTCATGGTAGTTTTCAATAGTTGGTGTTTTCCATCATGTTTATGGATATTTTATGACCCCTACTATCGGACATGACATTCAAATAACGTTTGGAGACCTCAGTAGGACTTTTTGGTGAGTTAGAGGGTCGTTTTCGTGCCCAAAATAGGTATCAATATTGTTCTTCAAGTGCTAAAAACAAAGGGATTTTAGGCTAGAAGTATTGATACTCATACAATGGGCATCGATACTATAGGTAAGGTATCGACACTCGTAGTAGGAGTATCGATACTCAAACTAGAGTAAGGATACTAGCCCTTTGCTATCATCCTTTAATAAGTCGGTAGTATCGATACCCAGAGGTCAATACCGATATTGAGGGACTTAGTATCGGTACCCACGAATAGTTTTGGGTAAGAAACCAAAGGGTTTTAAGGGATGGGTTTGAGGGATCCAATGATACCATAATGCTATGAAAATAAAACTACAAGTGAGAACAATAATAAACTTATAACAACTAGAAACAATAATAGTTAGGATGACATAAAACTAGACTTGTTTGATGCTTGGGAAAAAATTAGGACACCCGAGTTACTTTAGCAAATAACGATCGTACAGTTCGGAGTAAATTAGTCAGGTTTACGTTTCCGATGTAGTTCCGGATCTCACCCCAGATACCCTTGGGTATGAAGGAACTTTAGTTTCCGGATGGGGACAGATGGCCCAAGATTCGACGGAGTAAGTTAATCAGGTGTACATTTTCGATGTAGTTCTGGATCTCACCCTAGATACCCAAGGGTATTTTAGGAAGGCTAGAGGGGTGTGCGCTCCGAGATGTAGAACCCTCACCCATACCATAATGCCTACCTTAGCATGTCATAATAGTATTTCCTTAAGTCTTCATACCTATGCCACTAGCATGCTCATTTAGTGAATGCATGTAATATAGTACAATTATTAGTGTGGCACTGAGCTCGTAAGCTCAGCGTTTGAAATGTATTTCTGTACGCAGGTTCTCTGGAGACCGTCTATGGAGCGTGATCGTCACCAAATATTCCAGCTCATCAAAGATCCTCAGAGTACATCTTGATTTATATTAGATGGCATGTACTATTGTAGACCATTTTTATATTTAGTCGTAACTTTGTTTTGTATTAAACTCAATATTGATCATTTTGAATATTTGGGAACTCCCATATTGTAAACTCAGATTTATTATATTTTTATTTTATATCACTTTGAATGGTTATTTTATAATGTTCACAGTCATTTTAAAAAGAAAAATGTGTGATATCGTAATCCATCGATCTTCGGGTCGAACTAGATTAGGGTGTTATAATCCTCATATTATTTTTCTCTCAATATGACTCTCCAACTCAGAAAACAAACTCAATATGACCTTTTGATCAATGTTTTTCATCGTTTGACCATTATGGTGATAACGTGACAGTCTACAGTACTGACGTGGCAGTCCATCTGTCATGTTTGAGTTACCAATTTAGCACATCTTTCATGTTATCTGCCATGTTATCAACCGCTGTGGACGGCCACATCAACACCGTGGATTATCTTGTCAACACCGTGGACTATCACATCAGCATTGTAATGGTCAAACGACGAATAACTTTGGTCAAAGTGTCACATTGAATTTGTTTTCTGAGTTTGAGGGTCATATTAAGAGAAAAAATAATACGATAGCCACATTGAATTTTTTTTCAAAAGTACAATGTTCTCTCATGCCTTTTTACCAATTAGTTTACTTCTATTTCTTCCGGTCTTTGCAAATTAGTATAATTAAAAGAGGCAAGGTTAAGGTTCGAACCTTGACATTTATAAATAAAACAAACTAGGTTGAGAATATCATCCTCACCTCTATAATATTTGATCTGTTAATAGATCATATATCAATAATTAATTAAAAAGAGAATGCAGCTGTACAACAAATATGCAAGAATAAATAAATAAAGTACGACATTTTCAACATTCTTTTTCTATATATTTTAATCATAGTACTGGTGGTGGACAAAACGAAGGTGTGAGAACAATGATGGACTTGACAGCCTAGCGACAATAATCTTCATGCAAACAAATATAATTTTATTTAATTCATAAAATATATAATGTTATTATTATATACATCATTATTATATTGTATCTTATCTACTAATTAATTAATATAAATTTGAAGTATTATAGACGTTGTTCGAATAATTTAATGTCTTATATCTGTAAATGATCACTTTATACATTTATTATAACATTATAATGATCATTTTGTAACAGTTTAGTAATTAAATGATTATTTTATAAATTTTAAGAGTTTAATAGGTAAATTGATTATTCAAATATATATCAGTGATCTATGTTATAACATTGTAATGATCATTTTGTAACAGTTTAGTTTAACGTTTTAAGTTTTTAACGATAATTATTAAAATGAAATAAAATTAAATATTAGTCATGATTTTAAAAAAGTTTAAAGTTTAGATACTAATCGCGTAATTTATCCCAATAAATAAAAGAGTGGTAGTGGAAGTGTGTGATTGGCTAGAAGTAGTTGTTGTGTAACAATTCACAATATTCCAAAGCCAACTGTATCCTCTTCTTCCCCCGCGAATCTCTCCCTTTCTGTGCTAAATTGTTAATCCTTTGTCAAAATGCAGCTTCAGCGGTTCCTTATGTTCGTCAATCCTTTTCATTGAAAAAAGAGAGCTTCTTCTTTCTCTTCCCGTTTCAATCTAAGCAGGATCCGACGCCAGGTTTTCAAAAATGGCCGCCGGAGTCGTCGCCGACGCTTCTGCCGCGTTCTTGCTCCGCCTTGTCCACGATATCTTCTCCGTGAGTGTGGCTTCCGGAGTGTTTGAAAAGGATTGCACGGATCTGGCAAGGAGGATCGCTCTCTTCACGAATTTGCTCGAGGAAATCGGAGATTCTGTAGAGTCTGATCACGATCACGGTTCTTCCTCTTCTGATTCTTCATGGTCAGCTGATCTCGCCGTTGCTCTGCAGGCTGCTAAGCGTCTGTTTTCCGCTGCTTCAGGCTACCATTCCGTTAATTCCTCTGTAATGTCCCGTCTCCTTTTTCTTCTTTCTTTATTTTGAACAGCGTGAGTACTAGTGTATGACTCGATTATTCCGTTTTAGCGCTTAAATACTTGAAATATGTTTCGTTTTTATTTGAACTGATAGTGTCGATTCTATTGCAAAATTGACAGAATTAGACGACTATTTTCTTCCTCGGAAAATTTGCATAGTTCTAATCACTGAGTCAGTTTGTGTTGACTGCGGTAGATGAACTCGGAACTCCATCTCGAAAAGTATACATATAAAAAACTTTTGGACCGAAAAGAATCCAACTATTCTTAATGTGTCTCATCCATGTTTCGATGTGTTGAATATAGGTATGAGATGGACTATTTTAATAAAAATAAGAGTTCGAACAACGCAATCTCTCTGAGTGCTAACTCTTTTTCTTGATTTTCTATTATGAATTCAACCCCAAGGAATTGGAATCATCGAAATATGTAGCAATTCCATTTAATCTGCAATTGCAGGTCGTGGAGGAGAAAGGATATGTTTTTCTTTTTCAGTCCTTTTTGTCTTTTTGGTTAGCAGAGCGATTGTTGCTGGAGTTTTTATTGTGTTTATATGCATCTGTTCCTAATATGTTATGTTATAGGTACGTCTCTGAAATTTGCTATATCTTAATTTAAGGATGGAGCTGCCAAAAGAATTTCTTTCCAATTTCAATGTGTTACATGGAAGCTGGAGAGAAGTTTAGCCAAAATTCCATTTGACCGGTTTCAAATCTCAGAGGAGGTTCAAGAACAGGTTTAGCTCCAAAATTTATAATATTTTTTTCATTTTTACTTATTAACTTGCTTTTCTATGATCAGCTGCTTTCCTTTTTCTTTTCCCAGATCTCATTGGTGA